CAAAAAGAAGCCAGACAGGCAGGACATCCGATCAGCAGAGGAGGGCACAGACACAAAGGGACGGAATGGGACTGGGAACAGAGCCTCAGGAGTAGAATTCATGTCGGGGAGAGCAGGAAAGAGATGCAAGGTCACAAGGCCTTGGAAACTGGACTACGCATGTGAACCTGATTTTGTAAGCAATACAGGCACGCTTTACAGACTTCTGGAAAATCAGCCAGACATGTACTGGTCAAAAGGAAGAGAATTAATAAACGCAATCTATCACCAGAAATGATACTGGTAACAGCTCTAACGCCAAGAGCCCCCTGCGCCATTGGGTGCGGGGCTCTCAGTCACCACCAAAGGCCGCTCGTTCCTAACTTCTAGGTTACTACAACCTTTTCTTATTACTAACCTACCAGGTACCAAGTCCTTTGTAAATCTTATCTCGAATTCTAATAACCATGCAAGGTCAACACTATTATGCTCACTTACAGAGAAAGCAAGCCCCCGAAGGAAGGCCAGATAACCTGGCTGAGAGCCCAAAGGTGGGGAGGGTGCAGCCGGGCTCCCCGAGGCCACATCTTTTCTACACTCAAGAATGAGGCGCCCTCACCCTGCCCAGGGGCAGTCAGGCCAGGCTTCATGGAAACTTGGCTCGTTGCTCCTGCTTGAGGGCTCCCTGCAAACCAATGGCCTGAGAGTATTACACAACAATTACTCTGAGTGCAAAAGTTTGAAACCCATTAATAAGAAGGTTCCCCACTTCCTACTGATCCTCATAGGAGCGCACATTCAAGGCTCGTGTCCTTACTAAAGGTGACCCAATGAAAAGCTGGCAGGGCTGGAAAAGCAAGCACCCTGCCCTCTCCCTGCACAGCCCTGGTTAAACAGTGACGGCCCCTCCCAGGCTGGTCTGGGCCTGATCTGGTGAGAGGTGAGCGCCTCGAACAGCAGGCCACGGGCGGACGTGGGGGACCAGCCCTGCCCTGCCCGCCCCACCCTGCACAGGAGACAGGCTCCCTGCTCCAACAACTGCCCTGCTCGCAGCTGATCCCGGAGCTTTGCTGGCAGGGCCCCAAAAATGAGCACCTGACTACAGAAATCCTTGCAGGGTGTGCAGAAAGGGCAAGACACCGTCACTCCATGGTGGGAAAAAGGGAGATCAGGGAATGTTCTGATTCCATTTTATAGTCGTCAAAGGGCTCATCCTCAGGATGCGGTGAGACAAGGAAGTCCTCTGCGCTTCCTTTTTGCCCTTGAGAAATGACGGGAGGGTGGAGGGGAGAAGCTGCCAAAAATAAGTCTTCATTTTTTTTAACCAAAACAAGAAATATAAGATGTGAAACAAAACAAAACACTATAAAATGAGGAGAAAAACAGGCTCAAGAACTCATTCCAGGTTAAACTCGTGAACTCCAGGTACTAAACTAAGACATCTTCCCAAATTAAGTGGAGATGAGGAAGGTGTTCCCACTTAACATCTTGAGAGTCGGGTTTGTTCCAACCCAGAGTGAACAAGGCTGTAAGAAGCAGGTACAGCTGGAATGTTTCCCACCAACAGTCCATCCCTTAAAACATTAATATCTGCTTTATGCTTGTATTAATGAGCACCTTACTTGGGAATATTCTTACATACTTTTTCTGAAAGTCAAAGTGTTCACCTATGTCCCACTAATAACCCTCAAAAGATCTTTTGCTTGAACGGCCATTAGGCCACTCCTGTTCCTTAAACAGAAGACAGAAAAGTCAAGTTCATTTGTGTGTTCAGCTGGCACCGACCGGCCCCTCCAGTATTCAGGGCACTGTGCTTAGCCCTGAGGACTTGGAAACAGCGGCCCCTTCAAAACGCCAACCACACGTTTGCACAGTAGTCTTGCTACTTTCCTGGCTGAGCCTTTTCAGTTTTAAAAATTGCTTCTGGTTACAGACGTACCTAAACTTAGGTTCCTCCTGAAGTGAACTTTTTAAAAGCTTACCTCTAAATGCTGAGAAATCAAATTTCCCAGAAGTGCGCACACAATTTACACAAGAGAAGTCATAAAAAATCCAAGGCGGGCCATGAATAAACAAACTCAGTTGGGGGGTGTGGGGAACTCGGTGTCTCCTATCTAGGGGGTACGCTCTGCGGTCAGTAGCCCATCAGCTGAGGGGCACAAGCCTCACAAGCTTCGGGCTGGCGGCAGTAAGACACCGGATGCCACTTAAAGCAGGCAAGAAGCCTGTGCCTGCAACACGCACGGGAGTTAATTCCACAGGGCAAATGCTTCGTGAGTCTAGCTCAGTGGTTCTCAGCTGGGAGTGACTTTGCTCCCTGGGGCTCATTGGGCAATGTCTGCAGACATCTTGGTTGTCACGACTCCGGGTGTCACTAGCATCTACTGGGTAGAGGCCAGGGGTACCAAGCACAGGACGGTCCCCCCACACCAAAGAATTAACATGTCAATGGTACCCAGTTTGAGAAACCCTGCTCTAGCTCTAAATAGCAGCTGTTAGTCACAAGGAGCTCCCATTTCCTTATTATTTGGCCATTCACACATAAAGCTAATACATGTAACATCTCATTCAATTTCTTCTTCAGTTGTTCACACTGCTTGTTGGACAGCCATTTGAAACTAATACATCATTATCCCTAAATCACAAGGGGAAAAGTTACCAAAGAACAGGGCACCACTTAGTGATAAATGAGGCTCTACAATTCTGCTGTCCTTGGAAATGTATCACTTCACACTCACCGTTTCTACTCTAACAGGACATTACAAGATGTTCTTCACTGAACAATTTAACAAAAGGATGCTCTGTTATGAGACACTGAAGAGTGACAGGGTCTACATTAGGAGTTTGTCTCCAATCAATACAGCAATGCATAGCCTCTGTGGCTCTGCCTGCTTCCCATTCAAAGCAATTATGCTGAGGGGAGAAACTCTGATTAGAAATTAATACTGACTAGAAATAAAGATCAGAATTAATTTCTGATTAGAAATTAACACTGTAACATAAATACAGCTCAAGATTAAAAGTATAACTTTAAATACATAACCATTTCCCAAAATACTAAGGTCACCAGCAACAGAGGAAAAAGGCTGTGGGTTCTATTAACCATCTTTTCAACCTTGAGCAAGCAACTTAATGTCTTTGGTTTAAGAGTCTTCATCTAAGAAAGAAAGGGAATGGAGAAGATGGACAACTTCAACATTATATTAATCATGGAAATAAAATTCCACAACTAGATCTCCTTACACTTACCTTGGTTCAGTGTAAGGAGAACGGGCTTGGAAGTCAGACAGGACTGCTGGAGGGAAGGAGGTTGCAGCTGTCTCGCGCTATCCTGCAGTTTCCCCCACTTGCGCTAGGGGGCAGAGTTCTCCCAAAGGGGATTTCACTGGCCCACCCCGGTCCACGGACAGGCTTCATGGGGACTGAGAACCCAACAAACGAAATACAAATTCTTCGTCTCATCAAATTTCCTAAGGGACCCATAACACAAAATCAAAATAAAGGCCTCCCTACCCTCTCTGCCCATCTCAAAAAAAAAAAAAAGTTAAGAATTAGTGTCCTGCAGGCAGGGCCTGAGGTTTTCCAACAGATGAAAGCAATTAAACATAGCTCACCGGTCTTTCATCATTGGTTAACCTGCAACTCCTGCAAAAAGTTCTGGTGCCTTCTTACAAACATGAAACAAAGGTCTATGGATTAGAAAATGCTACTGTCTCACAATTAGAGGTTTCATTCTTTAAAAAAAAAAGTAAAAATATATTAATGAATGATTAATTCCTGTCCAATCTACCTCTCAGTTAATGTGGGTATCACACGTGAGACATCACTTTGAAAAAAGTGGATAATACTGTTACACGAGAATATATTCATCACTTTGGTCATTATAAACAGCTATCTCTAGTAAGCGGGCATCCAGAAAGTACAATGACTTGAAATAATATACCCAATTAAGTCTGACAAAGCGAGTTAGCCAACACAGAGGCAAACCCTCACCAGTCTAATTTGCTGGAAGATTCCAAAACTGTCCTGGATTTACAATACATCCCTTGCTTTCAGTGAAAGTCACTTCAGACTCCTCAAGTCAACTAAGTTTACTTTGAGCCACTTAAAACCTCAAACTTAAATATAATTTGTTAAACAAACACAACCAAGAAAGAAAAGGGAGCCAAGAAACCACAGTAACTCTCGACCCCCCAACCCCCCCCAAAAACGGTTCTCAAGTCAAGAGTTTCAAGTAACTCCGGTGTCCCGCCTTCAACGACCCTAAAAGGAAGATCGTTTTAATCTTTAAAAATAACCTGTTTGTCCTAAACGATCTTCTTCAAATTCAAATTCAAAATCTGCCAAAGACAGCACAAATATTTGATCTTTTCATCTTCCCTCTGGAATGATCTCAAATTCTAAACGAGCACTTCTTGGTGAGCACTAGACCTAGACTCCAAAGGTCCGACCGGCAGAGACCACGGTGAATGATTAAACCCTCGCCTCCCCCTTCTCACACTTCATTAAGCCGTCTCCTCTGGAAGTGTTTGCACCCCTCTCACAGGAAGCCGGCACGTTTTGCAAAGGAAATACCAGACCAGACCTTTCTTGGGGAAAGGCACGTCCCCGCTGAACATTTTATTGGGTTTCCTGCACCCAGGCAGCCGGGCATGCAGATCCCCCGTCCGGGCCCCTAGTCCGCCGCCTCCTCTCGCGCGGAGCGCCGCAGGGACACCCGGTGAGCCAGCCACCCACGCAAAAGGACGCTCATCTTCCCTACATCCCGGAGCCAAGTGCGAGCACGGGACAAAATAAAACCTGCCCCGGCTTACTCAGCCGGAGACTCCCCGGGGGTTGGTCTCAGGCGACTCCCAGAAAGTCTCGCCCTCTCGGGCTTAAGAGTGCGCGGTAGCAAGTGTGCGCGCGGCGCGGTACGCACATCCCTCCCTGCCTGGAGGCCAGGTCCGGACAGGAAGGGAGTCCGCGCCGAGTCGGGCCGGGCCGCCGGCGCCTGCCCTCCCGGCCGCGAGCGCACTCACCTCGGGGAAGAAGTTGTCCATTGTTCCCGTGCGCTTCCCAACTTGCCAGAGTCCGGCTTCCAGCTCGCGGAAGTCAGCCCAGCTGAAGGTCCGAGGAAACCATGCGTGTCACGGCGCGACTCCCAGGAACTCGAGCCCCCGGGGCTCCCCCGCTGCCATCTCCTTCTCCCCTTCTCGTCTTTCGCACCTTTTGTTTGCCCAAACCCAAGTCTCTAACTCATCCGTCCCAACCGCAGCCTTTGTCTCCAATTTCTCCAAGTCCCTCACTCCTGGACGCAGCGCTCGCGAGCGGAGAACAGCTGGTGGCACATTCTTCCCCCGGGCTGAGGGAGGGCGGCGGGGGGCTGGGGAGCGCGCCCCTCCTTCTGCGCTCCGGCCGGAGGCGCTCCGGACGGGCAGGGGAACAGCAGCCACAAAGCGAACCCGGAGTTGCTCTCCCCGCGCTAGCGCCGCCGCGGTGAGGACTCGAGCGCCCGGGCTCAGCCGGCTCACCACCTCACCGAGACTTGCAGATCGGAGCGCACGGTCCGGCCCCGCCCACTCGCTCGCCTCGCCCCGCCC